TTTTCATATTTTATATTGGGTTTTTATTGCCACTTTAAACTGCCAATTTCAAACAAATAGAACCTTGAAAGAAATTTAATTGCATTTTAACGGAACTTCGCATTCAGTTCAAGGGCCAGACATTGTTCGTGGAGAAATATGTTTATTTCAGTTTGTGACACTTTTATTTATTGATATATATTAAATTTTATAATATAACATTTGTAAATTCTGAATGCTGATTGGCTAAGAGCCGTGTTGATATAACTCAATGTCAACACGGAAAATTTTCCGCCGCTCGTCAACACGGAAATTTTTCTTATCCTTCGGGCTTTTGACATTGCTATATTATAAAAAAAATATAAAACATTTTTTCCGTATTGATATATAGTTATATCAACATTCGTGAAAGTTGGGAAAACTCGAAATTGTATGAAAACACTCCGCCCTTCGGGCGTCGTGTTTCCATACAATTTCTCGTTTTCCCAATTCCACTCGTGTTGATATAACTGTATATCAACACTGAAAATGTTTTATATTTGTTAAATATAAATATAAAATATAAAATATAAACCTCCCGCCTCTTCGACATTTTCAAAGTGTAGTGATGAGAATCAAGGAATTTATTTTATGTGGCCTAACCTGTAAATACACCCTTTCGATGATTACATAACACATACTTTTTGCTCTTGGAGCCCCAGATCATGAATCATGAGTGCAAGGCTCCCATGCCAAATGACGTAATTATTGAAAGGATGTATTATCAAATTTTTTGGTAAAAATTTATCTGAAGGGTTGTTTAAAATAGGAAATAATTCTGAACAGCATGCTATTGGGGATGAGGTTTTCTGAGGAATTGCCTGAATTTTAACCAAATTCTTCAGGGTAACCTGTAAATACACCCTTTCGATTATTATGTCACACATACTTTTTGCTCTTGGAGTCCCAGCTCACAATTCATGAGTGCAAGGTTCCCCCAGGTCAAATGATGTACTTATTGAAAGGATGTATTATCAAATTTTTTGATAACATTTATCCGAAGGGTTGTCTAAAATAGGAAATAATTCTTAACAGCATGCTATTGGGGATGAGGTTTTCTGAGGGATTGCCTGAATTTTAACCAAATTCTTAAGGGTAATCTGTAAATACACCCTTTCGATATTTACGTCACACATACTTTTTGCTCTTGGAGCCCTGGATCTTGATATTGGCCATTGAAGCGACTATTGTCAACTCGACGCTCGCTAAAATGGCGTCTAATACCTTGGAAAGAATTTGCGCCATCAAAGATTATATTTTCAATGAATTTTTGTTAAAGTGTTAAAATATTATTTAGAAGTCTTAGGAGTTGTTTCAATATTTTTGTAGAATTTATATCTGTGCGATTTTCAAAGTTTTTTCTGTCTTTGGCCGACGCGACTGGATCGTGTACATATTCCCATACGAGCTGATGGCCTGATCCTGGGGTTTTTGTTGCAAATCGAGCTACGGAATCCTCATCATGGACAACTCAGTGTTATAACAGCCCATTTCAAACCAGCAGAGAGCTCCACTTGTTTTAAAACAATAAAACAAGTTTTTATTGTATTTTTATTGTATTGTGGTCAATTTATTGAAATTTAATAAATATTATGCACGAGTCAATTCCAGGAGTAACCATCACCCCCCCCCCCGGGAACACACCTGGGCATTTGATTTGACTGGTTACGATAGTGCACAGTTAATAGAAGTGTGCCGGGACACAACTAGGAGTAGGAGACTAATGCACGGCCCTTGGGCAAGCTGAGAGTGGAAAATGCCCCACCCCTGGGACGATGAATGCATATCATAGGCATATTCATTTAAATTAATAACATTATACTATTAAGCTGCTATGGAATATTATAAAACTTTATTCGCATGGCACAGGTAATAAGTTTTGCAAAGGTGAAACCATTTGTCAAATCCCCGGGCCCAATACCCGGCTAGTGCTGTGCAAACTCCGGTTTTTCATCTCCGGCTCCGGCCGAATTACAGCTCTGAGCTCCGGCTCCGGCTCCGGCCACATCATAAAATATTAAATAAATGTTTTACGATCAGAGAACATTTATTAATATTATTATGAATAACCCTTTTCGCGCTTCCTAATTATCAGATAACATAACTCAGGAAACAAAAACAGTGAAAACACTTAACCACGCAGAAAATATCTATATGGAAACCAGCTTCGAAAAATCTTTGACGCGAGGCATGACGCGAGGCATGACGCTAACACTCTCAGACTCCACAGCGCAATTGTTCGCACGCAAACAAAGTACTCTATCATTTTCAAAAGGTTGATATTTATTTGTTTTGTACTTTTTCGTTATCTACAAGGCATGAATACACAGACTATGTAGAGCTAAGTCAGATGGCTTCATGAAAGCATGACGTTTGTAAGTTGCGATCGTATTACAGCTTTTCGATGCTGTTCCTGTGGGCTGTGGCAGTTCGAGTCTATGATGAATTCATTAACAGCAAATGGCACTTTGCAGTAACTAACAATCGTTTGACATTTGTCTCGTTTCATATTGTTTTCTTGTCATTTTGCCGGAGCTGGGAAAACGTAACTCCGGCTCCGGGCTCCGGCATACAAAATTCGGCTCCGGCGTTGGAAAAACCGCCGGAGCTCCGGCAGAACTCCGGCTCCGGCAACTTCGGCGCACAGCACTGTACCCGGCCCTTGTACACGTATATGACAGGTAAATTCTCGACCCCTGTGAACTGTCTATTAGGCAAATTCCCAGGGGTGTCCCGGGGGGATGGTTACTCCAGGAATTGACCTGTGCAATTATATAAATAGACATCTTCTTGTTTTATTGTTGCATTAATTTTAATCTGAAAAAATTACAAACAAAGAAGGTCACATGCATGGATAAATTACTTATTTACTTACTAAAGCACATTTTTACAGTTATGTACTTATTTTGCATGAGTGTGCATGACAGATTGTTTTAATTAGATATAGAAAGTTATCATTTATAACCCATGGTTTGTTTAAAAAATGCTGGAAAAAATCTAAAAAGTTAGCCAATTGAAATAAATGCACTTCAATAACTTGCTAAACATAGTTAGTTGCTATTATTTATATAAAAAAACATCTGTCAACATACACTCATGCTTTTTTCCTACCACTTAAGTCTCCCATGCACTAACCATGTCTCTGCAAAATGTTTTGGATAAAATCCTATTTTAAAAAAGTCAATCCTATACTTGATATGCTGAACATATTAGACATCCACGACATCCCTTGCAGCAATTAATGGGTGCGGATACAGTGCATAGTTCAGAAGCAATATATAACCAACATGGGGCCATCCAGTTCCATAGTCTAGATCAATTGCTATTGCACTTCGGTCCCTTGGATTCAATGGCTCTAGCCGTATTCTTACATTCACTGGTTTATCTTGTTCATGAAGAGTGAGGTATGCCTTTTCCCACAGATGCACTTGAATGGTACAGCCTGGTTGATTTCTTCCTCCTCATCACTTAACTTGTCACTTTCTACCCTATCACCTCTTTCATTATCATATCCTTCCTGAACAGGCTCATGACCAGCCAACAACTCAAGTAAATCTCTTTCTACAAAATCATAATAATTATTATTTCATGCACCGTCATCTCTAAAATTAGCAATCTTACACAATTAGCACTTTTTTCCATCCAGCAAACCGCCCTATCGATTTTCTAAAGTCGTTTTTTTTATTAATTCGGTTAGGGTTAGAGTTGCGGTTAGGGGTTAAAGTAGGGGTAAGGTTTAGGTTAGTTACATAGCCATTTAATTAACACCTCTTCTATCTTCCTAAAATGACGTCAGGTCAGTTTGCTGGATGGAAAATAGTGCTAGCCATAATAGAACAACACACAAACAATATTTAGATGAAAATTGAAAAATATTAAACTACAGTTTGCACATTTAAACAACCATCCACAACTAGATACAAACAGGCATCATACTCAGCAAAACTTTATAAAATACATACAAATAACAATACCTTCAGACTCATCTGAAAACCAATGTCCATCATCAATTGTATTCGCTGTCAACTGATATGATCCACATCGAAATCCAAAAGCATATGCTGGATGTTTTCATTAGCAAACTCATCAGGAATAGGGTCAAACTAAAGGGTTGAATTTAATATTTGAAATATTACGCCATAATTTGTACAGTGTATTTATAAAATTACAGTACAATATTGAAAACAGCAAGGCGGAAATTTGAAACAAGTCAACTGTATTGCATTGTAGGATACCAACCTTAAATACTGCGCATGTTTTCACGATGATGATACACGGAGATTCCATCCAACTTAAAAAGAACAGCCTTGCTATTGGAAATAACACAATTCCTTCGCGGATTATTTATAAAGCTATAAAAAGACAGCACGTCCCATGCAATTTAATATAAGGTAAACTTGGTATAGTAACTCACACGTCATGAGGATCGCAACAATACAGCAATAACATGCTATTTTCACGAAGTATTGCAGCCTGACAATCTTGTCTTTCGAATGCTTTCATATTTGTTTACTCAGAGAGATGTTCACTCCACGACAGTCAAAGAGTCATTGAAGCCACGCCTGGAATTAGGCGCTCAAACCCATGATGCTTTGCGGCCTGCTTGTCCAACCTCCTCTGTACTGACCTCTTGCATCCCAACGGCATGCCTGTCAAAACAGGGTATCCTAGGTAGTGGTGCTACCTGCAAATGTCTGAAGCTAACTGCAATCCTTGTCTGAATTCTGAAGTTTTTATGCATACTAACTAAAAAAATACTTAAAATTTTCCACAAACTAGTTGCAATATTTACATTTTCTGGATTTCTATTCTTTGAATATTATTTATTATTTCACAATTTACATTAAGCATTACTAAGAACATTGCATGTAAACCGCTGGCCAGTCGAGCCCGCATATTTTTTGTGCGCTAGACAATGACATTTAAGAATTTCAAAAATTTGAATAAGTTGAATTATTCATCGAGCAACAAACTATGTAATTGTAAGGGTAAATGTTATATGGAAAAGGAATTTTTAATAAAGTAAATGAATAAGAGGGTGTATTGTGGAGACTGCGAGAAGAGTTGGTCCAGAAAGGCTGGTTTTGATGAGCATTTTAAGCTAACCCAGATAAAGAGTGGTGATCGTGGCGGTGCTCTTATTAAAAACCCATGTTGTGAACGGAAAAGAAAAGTTTGGAGTTACACGTTAGAAGAGGCCCGAGCCAGCAAGAAACAGAATTCACAGACTGTGAATATAAAATAGTCACAGGATTTGCCTCGCTTGAGGGCTATTGGGCTAACTGCAAAATTTTTTTGGCTACCTGCAAAAAAACCTAAATATACAGGCATGCCCAACGGAGAACACATTCTTTTGTATAATCGGAACTTGCCTGCCAGCAAAATAGGCATAAACAGGACATGGGGTTCAAACTGTCCAGTTTACTAATCATTGCAAACTAATCTTATGCAGGAAGAATCTGGTATAACTCTGAATACAGTCGACAGTGTTGAGGGATTTGTGACGGAAATCAACAACGGCCATTGGGATACAGTGCTTCAAGCTGTACGTCAACCTCTGAAATTACCTGACAAAACTCTTATTGAGCTTTATGAACAGGTAGGAAAAACTCAGTTTGAAAACTCAACATCGGTTGAATAGGTTTTCAAAAAACAATTCAACCAATGTTGGTCTGGGAACAAACCTGAAAAAAATGAAAAGCAGGGAAAAAATCAGAAGAAAAAAACTGTTCGAAAACTCGGTAATATTGAAAAAAAATGTTAATAATTCCACATACCGTAAACCTCCGACTATAAGCCCCTACCTCCCCGAATATAAGCCCACCACATACTAACGCTCACCTCATTCCAAATATAAGCCCCCCCCCCACCGAATATAAGTCCCCTGAATATAAGCCCAGTGGCCCACTACGTTATTCAGCATTGACAGTGTCTTTTAATATAGCAGAGAACAATATTTAAAAACATTGTCATTGTCTTTATAGCTTACAGTATGTTAATCAATGCGTGTTATTAACACATGTTTATTTTCCTGTTTATGACCGACTTGTTTATTACTAACACAAAAGATCGTCCATGTATTAGCCCCCCCCCCCTTGCATAAGGCCATCAAAAATCGCCCAGGGCTCATAGTCGGAGATTTACAGTATTTGTGCACATGCTTGATTAGTTGAACAGAAGGCAGATGTCTGTGAAGACATGTAGATACAAAAATATTTTTTCTGTTTTTTTTCCCTGAACCAAATGAAAGTATTTAATACCTGAACTTATTTAACTGAATGGAAATTAATTTCTCTCCCAAATAAGAGGGCAGAAGGAAATTAGATAATATTTCATCTATTATTGAGTACATTTTGTTTTTCCAACCATGAAAGAACGACACTTGACAGCCTAATGGCTAATGTTGCATGCTTCATTTAGATTGTGCTTGAATTAATTGAGCTTCGTGAACTTGGTGCTGCCAGATCATTACTTCGTCAGACAGATCCAATGATTATGTTAAAGTCGCAACAACCTGATAGATACCTACATTTGGAAAACTTACTGGCAAGATCTTATTTTGATCCAAGGGAGGTGAGTGGCCATGAATGTTATTGTGGAATTTATAGCTACGGATAGGTGAATGTGACTACCACAGTTCGCTGCAAGGCCATTGTCAAGGAACTGGCCATGAAATGTAAAGATTTAGTTCATTTAAGTTGTGCTGTTTTTCTTGCAGGCATACCCTGAGGGAAGTAGTAAAGAACGAAGAAGAGCCGCAATTGCCCAAGGTATTGCCTTAGAAAGTTACTAGGAAATTAATCCGTAGAAACCGATAATCTGCAACTTTCAGGCAGATCGGTTATCGGCTAATCACATTGATAAATATTACCATGTACCGGCCGTCCAATAAATATAATTCTGGCTTTTACTTGTGATATTTACTCTTCTGTGTCAAGAAAAACTATGTGGGTTTGTCAAACAGATTCTCTTTCATAAAGGAACTGTCAGATCTACTTACGCTGGTAGTCATTTACCAGGATACTTTTCCGAAATAAATTGATTACCGCTGTTAGTTGAGTCAATCTCTTCCTCGACTATCGTAACGACATTTCGAATCTCTGTAAAGAACGGAAACCGAAACGACCGAATCCGGAAATGACCGAAAGCGGAAACGACCGAAACCGGAAATTCCCGCCTAAATTTCCCGCATAACGAATAATTATATTGTTGACGCTCGATCGCTGGCATTTAGATAAATATCGTCCGAAAGTAAGGTTGTATACTATTTAACTGCTGACAATTTTGTAAATTATTTAATAATCTTACTGCATATTATTAACTTTCTGAACAATGCCGGTTCATGCCGGTTTTGTTTAATTTAATAAAAACGATATTGCATTTACTTTCTCATTTGACATACGATACAGCTTCCACTAAAATGGCACGCTCTTGATTTTGAAAAAAATTACTGAATACATCCTCATTTATCTGACTGCATTTTAATAGCTTCAAATATTCAGAACATTGTTCTTTCAATCACAAGTAGTACAAGTATTATTGCATTCAATGGTAGTATTTTATTTGACTTTTAATTTGTATGTGTATTGATTAACTAGTAATGTATTATCTGCAGCCTATATTTAATATATTGTGCGGCTTCCTAATGCTTCGTATTGTTATATACATTTCTTTATCCTGATGATGATTGAAATATTGTCGAAACGTTGGTAAATATAAAAATGTTATCGATCTTTGGAGTTTACACACTTCCTTTATACATTTCGTCCTACATTTCACGCCCTGCGTCAATTTGATAGTTGACAGTCTTTATTATAAGGGATGAATGAATAAAACGCATGGTTCAGTGCAGGCTCACATTTCTACCAGTAAGCCTGCTAGCAGGCTGAATTTTAGGCAATGCAGGAAATTGGGCGGGAATTTCCAGTTTCGGTCGTTTCCGGTTTCGGTCGTTTCCAGATTCGGTGGTTTCGGTTTCCGTTCTTTACAGAGACCCCGACATTTCTGTTACTGGCCTGTTAACTTTTGTAATATTTTGCTAGCATTTTGCCCCAATTTTGAGTGTTGGAAATTCCTGTTAACAAATATCAGTAACCACAGATAAATCGGTTTCCTTTACTTCCCAGCTTTATCCGGTGAGGTGTCGGTGGTTCCACCATCTCGCTTGCTAGCTCCGCTTGGTCAGGCATTGAAATGGCAACAGTATCAAGGACTACTACCTCCTGGTACTTCCATTGATATGTTCCGAGGCAAGGCAGCTGTACGCGACGAGGAAGAGGAAAAATATCCAACACATCTCAATAAAACTGTCAAGGTAATTATGGATTTGACAAATTTAAAATTGATTATGCATATGACCAATGTTAAATTGGTTACAGATTTGACCGATTTTTATTGGTTATTTTGGGTCATTCAACATTGAGTGACCAAAAGAAATTAGATTTACCATTTGAAGTTGGTTAAAAATGCAACCAATTATGTATTGGTCGGAATGACCAATACTGAATTGGACATTTTAACCAATTTGTTTTTATTGTGAATGCCGTATTTTTGTTTTGTAAGGTTATGGACAGGGTGCAATAATACACCCTTCCGGAAAGGACCCCCCACTCATTTGGGTACAGTACACCACTGATCTTGTGAACATTTATAGAATATTTCTCTATACATAAATGTCCTAGTTTGGTTCGAAATCCCATCCAGAATGTGGTTTGTTCTCGCCCGATGGACAGTACTTGGTGACTGGTAGTGTCGACGGTTTTATCGAGGTCTGGAATTTTACGACGGGAAAAATAAGAAAAGACTTGAAATATCAAGCACAGGTAGGTCCAGGGTAAATGAACAAATAATAGAGAGTTTAAGCTTCGCGTTATACGTCAAACGGCAAACGCCAGACAAAGAAAAATTTTACGGTATCAGGCAATAAAGAGTGAATGAACTTGCTGTTTTAAAACTGCAATGCATGATTATTCTTTCGACACAGGAAAGAAAATATGTATTATTTTTAATAATGCTGTGTGCACGCTGCATTATTTTTAATAATGCTGTGTGCTATTTTAGCCCGTATAAACATTTACCCCTGGGAATTTCCCTACAATCAAAAAAGACCGCTCCCGTTTTTCAGAAGAACGCTAAAACTTCTCGACATTCGCTGATATAATGCAGAGAGAAAACAATAGGTTATTATGACCGTCAGTAATTATACGTCCATAATACACGTGCTCTCATATCATAGAATATATATTATCATTTTAGAATGGCGGACATGGACGAGCGGTGACTTTTGAGCGGCGGTGTGAAATCGTGTAGACTAGAGTGTATTACAACTGAGGTTGATAGTATTATAGCACAGTGCTTTATCTATCAAAGATACGGAGCGATGTATACATGAATAGATGCCAGTGGATAGTTTTGATATAAAATTATAAGTCAGCAGCTGAATTATATCAGCGAGCTTATTCTTGTATTATTATATCGCGATATAACCCGCGGAAAGGAGAGACCGCTCGCAGTCTATACCAGCTAGCTTATTCTTGTATTATTATATCGCGATAGAGCAAGGTTTACATGGCCCAATAAATAGTAAATAATAAAATATGATTGAAATTTTGCTCCAGAGGTAACATGCCAGCCAAGCCGGCGAGAGCCAGCTAGTGAACTATAAATGTCTGTATATAAACTATCGAGTGTTTGTGGTGAAGTATAATATTTTTAATAGCAGAAATTTCTGTACTCGGTGACAGCGTAATCTGTAGTCAGTAATGTCAGTTCGTATTGTTTCCGAGACGTTTTATAAAATCAGTCATTCCAAGCTTTTATCAAACTATTGGTATTTCTCACTTTAATATGCAGTTATTGGCAATTTCATTGATAAACTGTAAAATATTGTATTAGTGAGAAATATTTAGATGTCGGCCATAGTCCTGTTTGCATATCATGGGGCCTGTTTATATGGAAGCCAGGCTGGCCCGCTTAGCGAGACAGCCCGGTAAGCGAGATGAATTTCTCTTGTGTTTATAAATTATATTGTTTTGACAGTTGTTAAAAATAGCTTGCGGCGGTATCTTTGAACATTCATCCCGGCAACCGGGCTAGCCCGTTTGCAAGTGTTTATATGGAGAAATTTCCATCCCGGTCAGCGAGATCTTGCCTCTTTCAAGCGAGATCTCGGCAACCGGGCCAGCCCGCTTGTCCATATAAACGCACGACAATTTTTACAAAATGCCTATAATAACTACACAGCGAGATCTCCCTTAGGGAAGCCTCACATATCGATTTTTTCCACGAGAAACGTCATATGTTCGTTTGGGGGTGGGGGGGTTGGCAGCTGTGACGTTTCTCTGTAAACATCATGGAAAAATTCGATAGTTTTTATCTTTGCAGAATATAAAAAAGAAAACAATTTGATACAAACAGCAGTCTATATATTCGTAATACCATACCTGTTCTATACCTATACATTTATATTATTACGCCTTCCTTGCATTGAAAACACTCAAATTTCAAGAAAAACGCGCTAAAATTATCAATATTTCATGCAAAAAAAGTTGTTTTGATAAACGTTGGAAATTTTGAAGTTTATATATATATATTAATAAAAAAAGAGTATGTCAGCAGAAGATGACATATTCCTCGCGGAAGCATCGCCAATAGCCGACCGAAAAAAATAGTAGAAAATGTACTGTAAGAACAAAATATCGATAACTATGTGTGACGTTTCTAAAGGGGGGGGGGGGTTTCCAGAGAAACGAACATATGACGTTTCTCATGGACAAAATCGATATGTGAGGCTTCCGTTAATGAAAGTCAGTTTCACGTGTTGAGGAAATGCCAGAACAAATTTGATTGTCTCCGGTTTATGAAATGCTTTACATAGAGGAAAAACAAACCTCTTTAAATGTTCAAAGTGACTCCATCCGTGCAAAACTCTTTGTTTAGGACCGTAGGCTTTTATTGCCATTATTTCATTTATATTGTTCGTACTTAGTATTTAAATTCAAACATTTTTAGTTTTAACTGACTTGATAATGACGTTCTGTTAAAGGCCCTGTCACACTATTGCGTATCGTACTAGCGTATGCCAGCGTATGAAAAATATCACTCATACGCCGGTATACGCTGACATACGCTAGGGGTACGTTAGGCATAGGTTGTATACGTTTCAAGCACGGTCGCATACGCTGGCATACGGCGAGGCAGAAAATTTTTTTTAAGCATGTTCGAAAATTTTGTGCGTATTGGACGTATGCTTTATACGATAAGCATACTCTAGGCACACGCTAAATACGCTAGATCAGAGGTACGCCAGGTGTACGGTACTCATACGCTGGCATTTCAAAGGATTTTTGTGCGTCTGAAAATTATTTCGTTAATTTTCATACGCTTCTCATACGTTTCTCTCATACGCAATAGTGTGACAGGGCCTTAACGTCGAAACGTCGTCTAAAAACGTTTTTATCATGTATATAAATAAGTACATTTTATCGCAGAACTTCATAGTAAAATGTCTCAAGAAACCATTACTAATTCGAATAAATGTTGTTATTGGCACAATAATGAAAGTTAACAGAGAATTAAGAGGCGCCAGCTAACGTCACTTTGCTAGAGTCGTTTGAATATGTAAATTGTTTAATACATGTATATATTAGGGAAACAACGTGGGTCTGGCCTCATTCGTTTAGTGCTTTTTCTGAAGTTAGTGAAAAAATATACCCGAAATGACTGAACAATCTACTGTGCTACCTACCTCAGTCACGAGCATGGACGGATTTTGTGTGTGTGTGTGTGGGGGGGGGGGGGGGG